AGGGTTTGGAAAACTCTTCTGTATTAACGTGGTTTTAAACTGTGTTAAAGTTACAGTACATCCATCACATATTTCTCAGCTCAAATACCCTTTTAAAGAGAGTATTCTGTCTTTGTAGTAATCCTGTGACTCTGGCTTCAGCATAGACAACATAGCTAAAGAAAGAATTTATCAAATAGTTAACTGTTTAGCTTTTAGAAAGCTGTTGCTGAATAACATAAAGGATTATGGCAAGGACTAAAAAGGGAGTAAAGTAGGAGTAAAGCATGATCTGTTCTGAGAAATAAAAAATACACTCTTGTTTATAAACACTATTAATTTTGAGTTAAATTTTAGCTTAAAACTACTTTAGGGAGCTTTGAGTTAGTTTTGTAGTCCTGATAGGGTACAGATAAATAAATACAAATCTGTTGGGCATTTGCACAGTTTAGTCTTTAGGAAGATCAGTAAACAAATACTAATTTCTTTTCGGACATAGAAATCTGAATTGTAAAGACTGTTTTAGAGGTGATCAGGGTAAATACAACTTTAATTCTTAGTAAAATCTTGATAATTCTTAGTAATATTCTGGTTAATTCTTGGTAGTATCTTGATAAAAACACATTGACTCAGAGGAAATGAAAATTCCATTTCCACTGACTCAAGGGACTCTGGGCAATTAACTTACTCCCTATGTGCCTACCTTTAAAATAGGGTTAATGTAAGGTGTGCATTTCAGGATGCGATGGTAGAGGCAGGAAATGCAGCATGAATGAAGGCAGGCAGTTGTGAGTATGATTTACTGTCTGTAAAATACCTTCAGGCTCTCAGAGGCAAGAAACTTCACAAATACGGAGTTCCAGTACTACTGTTGAGGGTTATAAGTTATAAACAAATGCTGTATTTAGTTGGGATTGACATTTTGAATTCTTGATTTGCAGTGTCTTACTGACACTAAAGATGAGATCTTAATATGTCTTTTAAGAGGGACGTTTTGTATACAAATTCAGGTTATGACTTGACACAAAAAAAATCTGATGGAAGTAAAGCTCTTCAAATATAGGTGTGTTGTCAGTTTGAAGAGACCTTTCCAGTGTTGTTCTAGACTGAAAACAAAAGCTCTTCTTCACAAAGCAAAAAAAAAATCTTGCCTGCCAACCATTTTGTCAGATCACAAAGAGTAAAATTTCAAGTTACTGTTTATTGAAAAGACTGTCAGGAAATGCTCAAGGAAAGGCAGTCTGATCCCCCCCTCCCCGTTCTTCCCAAAACGGTGAAGTTGTGTTGTTTCTTGAGGTGGAAGATTTAATGTGCTATATACCTTTTCAGTGGGGAAAAATGAGTGCAGGCTGCAGTTCTTAGTCTGGCAGCAGCATTGTTCATTCAGGAAATTCCCCCCACATAGGGATAAAACAGCTCGCTCTGTATGAAAGAACTCCAGAATACATCAGTAACTGGCATATATCTTGATCTGAAAATTGGGGCATGGTTTTGACATAATAGGCTTATTAAAAATTTGGAAAGAATTGGGGATATGTCTGTGACTTAATTACTTTGACCTGCAGGAGTTAAGGAAAGCTGCGGTGTATCTCTGTATGAAGTCTGCCTCCTAAGTGCACCCCTTAAAATTAAAGACACTTGATTCTTCACAAAGATCTGTTTAAAACATTTCACATCTGTTTTTCCTTCCCCAGGCTGAAGAAAGGGACCCAAAAATAAAGCACATTTTTTATTTCAGATTGTTTTAAATTTTTATTAATACCTTTCATTTTAATATCTCAGGGACACATCTACTGCTGTCCTAGAGATGATGCTTCTCCAGTGTTGCTGACTACAAATGACCTAAAGCCTGCTTTTTTTTTTTTTTTAATGTGTCATAGGAGCATCAATGTTTTATAACACAACACAGGTAAAAGTGCCTTATACTAAGTGACAGTATTTTGCAGAGCAATAACTGATCCTGTTAGTTAGTCATGTCCAGAATCTGGCCCTAAGTGAGAATTGGCAGTGATGCTGAATGAATGATTTGCTTTCTGGAAAATAGCTTTCCCATATAATCTCTGGGAAAATTTTACAGAAGAAAAAAAAACCTGACTTTGTAACTTGGTGCAAGACTTGCTCGCAGTATAAAATTTGGTTTCGTGCTTTGACAGTTTTATTTGAATTATTTCACCAAGGTCACTTTTCTTTCTCCCTGTGAAATTCATTGCTGACATAGTAGATGGGCATATCTCCAGCAGACTTAGAACAATCTATAACAGCAGTGAATTCAGCACACAAAGTAGAACTGAAGTGGCCTCGCTTGTGTTTTGGGTAGAGCGTAACAAGAATTAAAAATAGAAACTAATGATGGTGAATTTGTTTTATATTTCGAATTAGGCTTTGTTCTCATCTGACTTGATTATTAGTTTAATTTACTGGATAAATTATTTGGTCTTGACTAACATTGACTTAGAAGTCTCTGAACATAGTGTATTGATCTTTTCTGAACTCTCATGCTCCCACTGTTGTTCCTTATTTTAGATGTATCAGACTAGATCGAATTTCTGCTACTCTTTTCTCCTTACAGACACATTTATTTTTCAGTTGACAGCTGAAAGAATAATCCCCTTTCTTTATGTTTGAGCAAAAAATCAAACTGTTTTTTAATGTCTTTAGCCCTTTCTAAAGTTGCTAGAGCAGACTTTTATGAAAAGGCACATGCACAGGAGGAAATCTTCATTTAATGTATCGCTTTGCTCCATTTTCCCTAAAATGCCCCTGGAAGCAGGGTAGGTTTTCTGGTAACTATCACACAGTGAAAGACTTCCTTCTTGAACGAGTATTGTTACGAGTATCAGATGTTACTGAATGTTGGAACTTGTTTTGGGGGGAAGAAGAAATGTTTATTCCATTCGAACTTGTTTTACCTGGCATGAACATTGCTATTGGAATTCATCTCAAGTACAGTACTGCTGCTCCTATGTGGCTGATGTTTTTCAAGGAAATCATAGGCCTAAAAATAGTCTGCATAAACAACAGTAAGAGGTTTGTACTTTCAGTTCCAGGTTTTAGCAATACCTTGTTGTTATATTCTAATTGTCAATTTCCAAAATCCATTAAGCTGATTAGCAGAGCATTTAAAAACAAAACAAAAAAAACCCCAACCCCAAAACCAAAAATCTACCTCTTGTGGAACCTTGCATAAAATGTTACACTTAGATAAATTCAGTACAGAAAGGCTGGATCATTGTAGTAATCACCTTTATATCTTCATGAACATGTTATGTTCTGAACATTTGTCAAGCATCCTCCAACTTGTGAAATTGCCACATGATTCTGAAACTGTGGTCTTAGGGGAGAATATAATGTGGAAACACTCATACTAGTTGGAATTCATGATTGTTGTATGTATTTCACATCCTCTGTGTACTGAACAAAGAGCTTTACTTCTTTTCCTTTGGATTAAAAAAAGAAAAATGAAATTACTTAACAGCCTGGAAGAGATGAGGAAAAAATCCAGCTTGCAAATTGCAGAACACAATTTGACATCAATTTTATCCTTGTATATCTGTCTCCATGTCACCTTTCGTGATGGAAATTGATCTTTACGCTTTGTCTCATGTTTTTAGTAGCATGTTTACTAAGGTACGTTTCAGTGTGTTTAAAATTCCGTAATTCAAACTAAACAAAAATTACTTTTCATTTGTCTCTGAAACAAGATGGTCATCTAGTTCCTGGTGAAAAGGGCATTACACTGAAGCTGCTCTTAAAACATACAATTATTTTTTCCTCCTTCCCCTGCTCTTCATAAGGTTTTTTTAGAAAGTCCGTTGGGAAGCAGGGGCTGAAACTGAGGGCTAAGACCCTTGCTGATTTTAATGGGGGAATGGTTTCTGGTTTGTGAATCTGGGACGTGGCTACCTTTTCCCCCCCTTTAAATTGTTGCCTGCGACTGTAGGTAATGCACTTTCAGTGTACCTACCTATGCGTAGGGATCGGAAGGGAAAACTCACCTTTTCTTTATGATTTCTCCTTCATAAAGAAAAGAATTCATGCAAAGGAATTTAAAAGGAAGGTTAAAGTATATTGGCTTTGAGACTGTGATTAATCATTAATGTTACTGGTAAAGTTAACTGTAGAAGCGTTGCTAGCTCTCCTAATAATACTGAAATGGAAGGTGTCTGAGCATGGTGTAGCCCTGCTGCATACTTGGTGTTGGACAATTTGATTGGGGTGCAAATAGCATAAAATCTGCATCCTGAAGCTGCTGGCTTGCTACGTCTTCGAGTCTCGTAGTAACACCACAATAAAACAGTTAACAAATTGGTTCCTTGAGATTTTTGCTCTTTGAGTTGAAGTGAAAGATAATTAGGAGGTTACAGTTAATCGATAAAAACATTTTAAAGACTCCAGGATATCCTCTTTAGGTAATGCCTAATGAATTTGAATAAAACACATCTTTCTATACCCATTTGGCCTACTACTGCTGCTTCTCCAGAAAGTAAACTGAAAAACTGGTACCAACAATTGACAGAAAAATCAGTATTCCCTCTCACTTGACTGAACTTGTAATGAAATTGGTTTAGGGATTTCATTTATTAGAAGAATTATAGTGACAATAAATTTTTAAAAAAATATTCATCTTACTTTCAGGAAAATTACACGTAGGTATTTTATTTGAGTCATTGCTTTACTGTTAGCAGTAGCAGATTACATTGTACAATTTATATGAATAAATTACCTAAATTAAACTACTTGTATGTTTGTTAGCGGAGGGAGCAGAGTGGGAGGGCGTTGGAATGAGATTGCCAGACCTGATTAATAAAACTGTGGATTTGGCCCTCTGCTGGGTGGTGCTAGGAAATGCATGTTTTAAGTACTAGCACATGTATGTTGAGCAATTTAAGTGTATTCAGCATTTTGTGAATCTGAGTGCATTAAAATATAACAAATCTCATCTGGGATCCTGTCAGTTACTCAAGTGTTAGATAGTTTATCTGATTTGAGAATGAAAAGTTCTTTTTCTTTCCTCTCCCCAGTTTTCTAGACAAGATTGACATAGTCAAACAAAATGAATATACACCGTCTGACCAGGTAAGGAAAGTTTCATTAAGAAATTACACAATTTATCTGCCCCTTCTGTCTTTGAGGAGAACTATCTCGTTAATTTTCTAATTGCCATTTGTGGCACCAATACAGGTATTACCATGTATTGTACATATTTAGTATTCCAGTAAAAATTACTTTTGTCATTTGGATTGAGTTTATGTTTATACATTTTAAATGCACCGTGAAATGAAAATGTGCCTAGATTCAAGACTTACATCATGCTTCTGTGACACTAAAACTCAAATATCCATTTGAACGAGTAATTCATAATGTCTTGCCCTCCTTGCTGAATAACCATCACGCACTTTGATGCAGAGTTGGCTGGTATCCTCTCAGCCCCACTGGCTCCCACTGTAAACCAGATTTTGTAAAAATAACCTTGTTAGATTTTATTTTTTTATCAGAATAGGAATTGTAGTTTTTGTTTTGTTACAGATAATCTGAGGATCTTTTTAGGACCAAATCCCTAATCCAAAATCACATGTATATTCCTAACTTTCTGCCCATAAATAACACAATTAAGCATCTAGCGTACTTTTATAGGATAAACAACCAAAAAACATATTAATGTCCCAAAACTTAGGCAGACAGTATTAATGAGAAGAGAGCAGTTTGTATCCTTTAAAATTGTTCAAGAATAAATTAATCATAAATCCTTTTAAAAATCTGAGTTTTTTAATAAATGAGGCTTTCTTATCACTGAAATAATTCTATTTTCAAGAAACAAAATATTAAAAATACAGGTTATTATATTTGAAATTTGGAGCAACTGATCTTCAGAGATGAAACTTTAAAACAAGTGTCAGTTTTACATTGGAGGCTAAGGGTGTCAGGAGTTTAACTTGTATTTACTTATACTTAGTATATAGTACTAAGTATAGTACTTACAATTTACTTATAGTAATTACTTAAGTAAGGTGAGTATTTAAGTAGTTACTTAAGTAAAACTGCATACTTTTACTGCTGTAAGTAACAGTGAGCACAAGTACTTATGGTGCTTGTTTGGGACCATTGACTGCATTGACACTCCCCACAAGTATCCTGTAAATCCGGCCCATTTGGGTTATCCTCTGGGATGTTACATGTTTCTCCTAAAAGAACTCGGGAGTGTAATAATCAAATCACTTCCTTCCCCCCCCTTGAGGGGGATGAGTGCTTTTTATTTTTTTTTCTAACATCATACTTGTATTGATTTCTGAAGATGCAGAGCTCCAGAGAGTCCAGTTTTCCAAATTTGCTTCTGTTTATTGGGGCGTTCGAATTTTCAAACTGTTTCAAACACAAGTTAGAACAATGTTTAAATATATACATATTTCAATATGAGTATTAAAATAGCCAGAAAACAATAATTTACTATCAGAAAACTGATGTTAAAATGTAGCCATTTTGTTTAATGATTTAACAGTGTTGTCTAACCTTTGGATTTTGTGTGGTTTTGACTTTGACTAACCAGTTTGGTACCTACGTAGTAAGAACAGAGCTTTTATTGTGCATATAATTTTTTTTACAGTCTGTTCCGCTTATATGATCTTGTCTGCTGCAAACGTTACGATTTATCTGCTATTTAGACCCATTGTGAAGAAAATAAAAACTTTAAGTCCTAAATTATAAAACCTTTAGTTGAATTCAAAGTGGTATTTTGTAGTTAGTTATATTTGGACTGTGTACTCAGTCTGCAGCCTGTGCAAATCAGGTTCTTCTAGATCAGTTACCCGCTGGGCACTGTATATGGCTGTCACTGCTTTGCAATACACAGTAAATAAAAGCCAATACAGTTTCTTTTTAATAGGATTTTGTAGCGCTTATAACAATTTCAATTGTTTGTAGCTCACAACTTCTGGTTATCATTTTTGTCTCTATAGGAAATTTTCAACTTTATCTTTGAAAAGCCCAATTCTTACAAGATTTAAGTCGTTGAGCTCCCGGTTCTTTGAAGGAAAAAATGGACAATTCTGAGACCTAGACACTTTTTTTAATAGCCAAGCACTGAACAGCTCGGGGAGAGATCTGTCTTCTGGGGTTGGGAATTATTTGGTGGTAGTTTAAAGATCCTGTTGCATGCCACGATCCCACTGAAATCTGTGAACGCATCATCTAATCTCTAGAGATGGGTCTGCGCTGTTCTGAACACTTGCGTTTGCTTTAAGTGGCCTGTAAATGTTTCCTCCTATTCCAAGCTTGGCACTTACAACCTGCTCGGGAAAATATACGTACTTCAAAAGTTGAGCACACCCATACGTGTGCACATGTGTTCAAGATCAAAAGCTTAGATGCAGCTTCATAATGCTCTGTTCCCTGTTTTTGCAGTACAGCATACGCTGTCAGCACTGGGTAAAAGGTTTTTATTTCTGTTGCTGGATATATGAAGAATTATGAAGTATCTGTGTTGAATCAATGACTTTTCCTTTATGCTCTAGGATCTTCTCAGATGCAGAGTTTTGACATCAGGAATTTTTGAAACGAAGTTTCAGGTGGATAAAGTAAATTTTCAGTAAGTACCCTTATTTTTTTCTCTTTTTTTTCTCCCTTTTTTTTTTTTTTAAATACAATGCAGACAAATACCACGGTAAAGTGGAGGACAGTCTACCATATAGTCATTGAGACTACTGTATTTCCCAAGTTGATGTTTAAGAGAAAGCAAGTATTTCATGATTTTTTAATTTAGTAGTCTGGCTTTAAAAAGAAATGCAAATTGATGTGCAATTTTCTGCTTTTATTTTAAATCGCAAAGAACAAAATGTTTTAAATCTATTTTTACTAATGCCTTTTCTGAGTATTTGATTCATTGCTAGTTTATATAGTGAAATATTTGACCAAAAACTTTGTACATATATAAGTAATGGAAAGTGCATGTTCTCTTTACTGTCCCAGGTTAGAAAGATTGCTTGACCCGAACAAAAACTGCTGAGTTTTAGTCTGGTTTTGTTGACTTTAGCTCTGTGATGCTTGTTTCAGCAAATGACTTGTTGTAGGACCTTTTTTAATGTCTTAGCTTGTAAGGGTGAAAATGAATCTGCAATATACATACACCAGAATTTCTTACCTTCAAGTGTAGGTGTTAGTGAAAGTAAACATAATTATATTTTGTGATGAAAGCTCTGCGTGCATATGTTGGCAGACTGTTACCTGTTCAAGTTCTCATAATCCTCGATTCCTTTTAGCTTCTATGACACGGAAGTCCTAAAATTTCTTAGATTTTCTGTTTGCATTTGGGGAAAAAAGAACCCAAACAGAAAATTTATACTGACTCCATTTATGTTTTTTTCTTAGTATGTTTGATGTTGGAGGGCAACGAGATGAACGCCGAAAATGGATCCAGTGTTTTAATGGTATGATTAGAATTTATGCTTGTTTTGTAAAATAGTTCTCTGCAAAATTTTAATGCCCAATCTTAATTTTCTCACTGTGTGAAAGCCATCTTCTTTTCCATGTAGCTTGATAAGGCATTATCTCAACAGTCATACGGGATGGAATTTTTCTTGACATGTAAACTTCTGTAACTGCATAGAATATCTTTAGGGAGAATGTAGGTGGAAAGGAATTCAAGTTTGTTAACTTAACATAGCTTGTCCATTTTCTTCGGCTTCCCTCTCTTCATTTAATTAGGTTTTTTTGGTGGTGGTTTTTTTTTTTTTTTTTAAATTATTTGCCAGCTATGTGAGTGTTAAATTCCAAGCTATATTCTGTCCTCCAAGTGAAGGTTTACTTATGCTTGTGCCTATACAAAATATACAATTATGGGATAATTAATATATGCATAAAATCAGAATATCATTTTTGCGCATAATTGCAGCCACATTGCTATGTCATGAGTGGTTCTTTCCGAATTGGCACCGACTCATTAATGCAGTACGAGATTGTAGGGAACATCTGCCTTGTTAGACATGGTGTCGCATGCGGTACGTAATATACTACAGCATTGTATAGTGTAGCCCCAAAACGCCCTTATCAGAAAAGTTTGTGATGGAGTTTATAAATCTGCACTTTTCGAGGGAGCCATGCATATTAATATAATTTATTGAAAAACAGCCCTAAGGGGAAGGCCCTTACTGAAAACATCTAAACAAATACTCTCATCTAAGTAACCTGCACATAAGCTAGATTCCTTAGAAGGCTAACATAGCACCAGCCTAGGTACGGGTAGGACCTGAAACGTCTGCAGGCGTTTTGTAAGATCTGGAGTCTTAATACTGATGTCCCCTTCAGTTTAGTTCAGGTGATAAATTAGGTAGTTTTGTGTGTATCCTGTAGTGTTGCATGTACCTTCACTACAGCCGTTTATTTTACTCTGTATCTCTGTTTAGATGTGAAACCTTTCTCCACACAGGATTTCTTAAAGCTAGAGTTGGTGAAAATATTCTTGTCTTTTTCTTTGTTGGTTGGACAAAGTATTTATGAAGCTATGCAAAAGTGTCTTTTTGTAGAAAAGTTATAATGAGATCCTACAGAATAGATACGGTAGAATGCAACTTAGAATTCATCGTATTTTGCTACAGTTGCTGTCATAAAGTATCACCTTAACACTTTACATATGTGTGGAACTACTGTGCAATATTTTCTTCTGTGCTATTAATAACAGATTTGTTTGGGTTTTACCTCTGCTCCTTCCTCTTCCTGTTACCTCATGATCTGACTCATCTCTTCTGCTGTTGATGTCTGAGGCAGATGAGCCTGGAAGTCAGTGTAAGGGGTCTGGAGCAGCAGAGCCACACAGAAACAGAGAGATCTGGATTCTGTGATCCTGGGAATATCTCCCAGGAAAGAGAGAGGGGCCTCTAAGCAGTATAGTACGCTAACGGAGGACTAGAGCGATTAACCGTGAATTCACAGCAATCTACTATTTTTATTATTACTATTCATGCAGACCAAAAGTGCCATTTGTCCTGAGGTTTTCCCCCAAGGGCCTCCCTGTCCTTTCTTGATAGCTCAGGGTTGCTTTCTAAATTTCTTTACACCTTTTAAATCTTTTTAAATTCTCCTCTTAGCTTTCTTCAGTGTCTCTCTCTTGCTTCTGTTCCTTTCTTTTCTATATTTTCTGCCATTCTGTCAGCTTCTGTCCTGTGGCCTGCCTTTCCTATCTTTAATGGTTTCTTCGCTTTCTTTTTTTATTTCTGGTACTTAGAAAGCTGTCAGCAATAGCACTCCAGCCTGTTCTCTTCATGAAGCTGAAAGTCTGGCAGCTTTTTATTGAACTTTGGGATTCCTGGATATTTCTTCTGAAGTTTGGTATTAACTAATGGGTATTTCTTGATTTAGATGTGACTGCTATCATATTTGTGGTGGCGAGCAGTAGCTACAACATGGTTATACGAGAGGATAATCAGACCAATCGGCTTCAAGAAGCACTAAACCTCTTCAAGAGTATCTGGAACAACAGGTCTGTGAATTGAAGTTTCGTTGTTCATACCACATAAATTAGTAATCCTGTCTTATACCATAGTCAAGACTTGTGTACTGGGCCTGGCTACGATAGAGTTAATTTTCTTCATAGCAGCTCATACGGTGCCATGGTTTTGGTTTTGACCGAAACAATACTGGTAACACACTAATGTTGTAGCTGGTGCTGTACAGTGTTTGCAGAGCATCAAGGCTTTCTCTGTTTCTCACTCTGCCCCCCCCAGCGAATAGATTGGGGGTGCGCAATAGCTTGGGAGGGGACACAAGCAGGCAGATGACCCAAACTAACCACAGAGGTATTCTGTACCATGTAACGTCATGCTCAGCAATAAAAAGGAAGAGGGGGGGGTTTAGGAGGGTCAGCCGTCTTGCTGGGTATTGGTCTACCCACGGGAGGTGGTGAGTGATTGCCTTTGCCTCACTTGTTTTGTTTTCTTCTCTCTTCCACTTACCCTTCACTTACTAAAAAATTCTTATTTATATTTTTTTATCTTGACCCCCAAATTTTCTTGCTTTTATTCTTCCTTTCCTCTTCCTCCGTCCCACTGATGGGGGAAGTGAGTGAGCAGCTGTGTGGCGCTTCGCTGCCCACCGGGCTTAACCCACAACAGCAGCCTAGCGCCGTGTTATTTGCTTCTCACAGCACAGTCCAAGCTAGTCTTTGATCACAACTGCCTACCTGTTACATTAATGTCTGATACGCTCATCTAACTGAAGAAAACTCTGGAGAGTTCCAAATGGGTAGTTGCCACATGGAGGCTGAAGTAATTAAAGCAGTGATAGAGTGGCACACTAAAAAGTGGATATGCTCATCTATTCGATGTGTTTGGATTAGCAGTAGAAAGCGGGCAACTTCCATTGCCCACGTTAAGAAGCACACAAACCAAACTCAGGGCGAGTACACCCGGAATTACACCATTGGATTCAGGTGTAAAAGGAACCTTTCAAAATTATTATAGCGTGTCATATGAGTTGTCTCCAGAACTGGATTAAGTTTCTCTTTGCTGTATGATCCTAGCTGTGCCTTCTCAGAGTGTTTGGTTTCCATTTTCTACAGGTGGCTACGGACCATTTCAGTAATTCTTTTCCTGAATAAACAAGATTTGCTAGCAGAGAAAGTTTTGGCAGGGAAATCTAAAATTGAAGACTACTTTCCAGAATTTGCTCGCTACACTACACCAGATGATGGTGAGATTTTTAAGTTTTATTAGGAATTTATCATTTCCTTGTTAATCACGTTTGCAATGTTTTTGGTAATTTCAGCTAAGACTTGAAAACTCTTAAGTAGATGTAATCCTCATTGTCTTTCAGCCAAACTGTAATGTTAAATTTTAGGTATTAATAATGAGATAATCCTGTCTTTTATACATTTAATACACTAATAATTTCATCATGCTAAAATCCTGTTACTTTGCTGGTGTAGACCACAGTAGAGCGTGTCACAAATACGTCCTCTGGACTCCCCCTAGTCATATCTGTGGTCATTTCTCTAACCTGCTAAATGCCTGGTACTATGGCCACTGTATTATTCCTTTGTTCTCCTGAAATCTTGCTGTTTTAAATAATATGTTAAGGTTTGTCTTATCTCATAGTCAGTTTTGCAAAGTATGTTTCTATCATATGTGAGCAGAAAACAGAACAAGGTACGATTTTTAGGCACTATCGTAAAAAAAAATCTGTTTTAATGAGATACTTACTTATTTTATTATTAATCAGCAACACCAGAGCCTGGTGAGGATCCCAGAGTTACAAGGGCCAAGTATTTTATTAGAGACGAGTTTCTTTTAAGTATTTCCTTTCTTTCAGTATTTCTTAGGTGATTCTTCTCAGATATAAGCTCTTAAGTGCCTTCTATTATTGCAAAATGCTGTCACTTGTTGTGTTGTTTAACATCCACAGTGCCTAAAGCACTGTTACATTTAAGAGCTTTACTGCTGTTTGTTAGCTGCTTTTTGGATATTTGTTTGTTGACACAGTACATAATTAAATAGCAAAAGAATTGGTGAGAGTTAAGAAACCTCAAATAAAATGATGAGTGAAGTCCTGCTGTTATTAATGGGGCCAGATTTTTATTCCATGTATTATTTCAAAAGATAAAGACTAATCAAAAGATGCATCGTCTGTAAAATATTAATGTTCTTTTCGTATTATCTTTCCCATTACTGGTCAGCTGAAGCTATAATAGACGGATTTTTTTAAGTATTACTACAGTTACTTGTAATGGTGAGCATGGCAATCAAATTGTGGACGCATTTTAAAATGGAGCAAAATATTCCATGCATTATTTCTAAAGATAAAGACTAATCAAAAGATGCATCGTCTGTAAAATATTAATGTTCTTTTCGTATTATCTTTCCCATTACTGGTCAGCTGAAGCTATAATAGACGGATTTTTTTAAGTATTACTACAGTTACTTGTAATGGTGAGCATGGCAATCAAATTGTGGACGCATTTTAAAATGGAGCAAAATAAAATTTTGAGGGAGGCTTTCAGTAAGTATAAAGCAGGGATAAAAGCCTTGCACGAGGAGGCAAAATCCCACTTTCTTCACGGACAAATTGACTAGGAGTTGTGTGGCTAAATTCACCAAAGCTGCACATAAATAATAGCACTTTCCTGAGTTCTCATTCAACTCTGAAATTCCCCAGTATGCAGTGACCTTCTCACCGTATAATTCCGATCATTTTAAATTTCATGTTTTAGGTGAGAGAGTGAAAAATTGTGGGCGTTTTGCCACTTAGTTACACCCTTTGAAAACACAACTCTCACATACGTATCTTTAACCCTCATTCATCTGAGTTTTGAGAACATGGGTTTTTTTTTCCCAGTCAGTTTTATTTTAACCCAGTATCTCTCTCTTACTTTTAACAGAGAATCAGCACAGCAAGTGGAGATGGAAGGCACTATTGCTATCCTCACTTCACATGTGCAGTGGATACAGAGAACATCCGGAGGGTTTTCAATGACTGTCGGGACATTATTCAGCGCATGCACCTTCGCCAATACGAGTTGTTGTGATGGAGAGCACTTTTTTCTGTGTTTTGGACTCCTTATTCCTTATTAAAAAAAGAAAAAAAACACCCTTGCCCACATAGGGTGGAAGAGAACTGTTTGAATCTCCCATTGATTTGCACCCCTCAACTTTTTCTCCTTGCTGGACAATAGCAGCTCTTCTAAGCTTGCTTCTGTACCCCTTGGACAGTTTGAGATGGCCCCTAACACTTAAAAGGCCATTTCCATGAGGATTCCCTAACACTGTCATTAACAAAAAAAGAAAAAAAAAAGAAATAAAAACTAATTAATTAAAAGCCCTGAATGTGGAGCACCTGAAAGAATTGGGGATAAAAAATTGGAACATAAAACAAAAATTGGGGAGAGAAAACCTTAGGTAATTTAGCACTGTTGTGGGCATAATCATTTAACCCGTGATCTCCACTTTGTATCATTCATTGCATCAGACTAAAGAAGGTGCCAAGTCACAGACCAACTTTGAAGACAGACACTTGAGTTTGGTTCTCTGACTGTAATGTGGCTTTGAACGGAAATACTGACAATTCTACAACAGACCTAGACAGTGCAAAAACCAACTGCTACCTTTCAGAAGGGTATTTTTAAAACCAGTCTTGGTGGTCTAAAGACAACCATGGACATTTATGAATTGAACTGCGTATGGCCTGTGATTGCAGAAAGAGTTAACCACACACTGTTTTCAGTTTGTCCACTGATGATCCCGTCTGCTATAAAAATCATTATCTGGACTGTAGTCCTCACAGTCTTTCCCTTCTTTTTCTTCTTCCCTCCCCTCATTTTTTATTTTACTGCTGGATTATTATTCTTGTACAGACTGTAAAATGTATTATTTTGTACAACTTTATTGAAAAAAAATAACTTGTAGAAGATCTTTGTGCCTTGATTATGGCTGTACCTGTACAATGAGCTAAGATGTAAGTATGTTTGATTGCGCTGTACAGCTTTGTCAACCCTATCTGCAGCATTAGCTCAAGGTAGGGAAAATTTATCTGTAGTTTAGTTTTTCTGGTTTATAAAAGAAGGAAAAATACTGTTTAGTAAAAAAAAAAAAGAAAAAAAGAAAAAAAAAAGAAAAAAGTACAAATTGTGCAAACTTAACCACTTTAAAAGTGAGGTCTTCAACAAGTGACCAGATGTTGCAGCATCATGCTTTTTAATTTTTAGCTTTAATTCATTTAAATCTCTATCCAAATGCAAAACATGGCTTGTTTCTACATAAACCAAATTTTGCTACAAATTATAAATGTTAGTCTTTGGTCATTCATAGTCCTTTTCGCTAAAGACAAAACCAGAACAATAACAGACACGTAGGGCATCATGCAGGTCTGGTGACCATCTCTAGACTGGGCCAAATACCCCACCAACCTCCACTTACGCTGCGTGGGCGTACTACTACCAGAATGACAAGGTGTGCACTGCCCTTGGATTTGGCCACTGAATTCCAGTTTCAAATGACATTTTTATTTCTCTTTTAATAAAGAGATACTTTAGAACCTTTTTGTTTTATATTAACTATATAAGTAGCTTAAAGTGAAGATGTGTGGATTTTTCTTAAACTTGAATAATTTATGCAAATTATATGCTTAGAACAACATGTGGTACAGTAAAAAGAAAAAGAGCAAAAATCACTGTAGCAATAAGAGAGCATGTAATTTTAGTAACTACTACACTGCTTTATATTTTATACCTAGGTGTTTTATGTCTCTGTGAGTGTGTTACTTTTTCATGTGTCTAAACCTACGTGTACAATTTGTACAGAGTCAGAAATTACAGCTGTAATAACACATCTAGAACAGTGTTAGCCTATATTACTCAAAACACCCCTGTTCCCCCTTCATTTACACCCCTAAACTGATCTGGATCTTACTGCGGTGACTTTAAAAGGAAAACGAAACAAAACAAACGCCAAAATACTTGCCTCTTTGCCTTTCACACTAGCTTCCCTCCACCCAAGAGACTGTGTTAACTTTCTTTTTTGGGAAGAGGTCCAGTTTAAATTAAAACTAGGGTGTGGTCAGTGATGTCTGTGCAGCTAGATTTGCTTCAGGTATCAGATGCCTTTTTAATACTAAGAACTGCAACTGTTCAGCAGTTTGAGTTTTCATTGCTTTTGTGGCTAAACTTTTAAAAGAGAATTAATCACCTAGTCCATTTTCACGTAAAGAGCAGGGACTCGATGGAGTTACTGTCCCATCTCTCTTAATTCAAAATTACTAGTGATCTTCCAGAAGACACTAAATCGTCTAAAAATTTTAGCTGCGGTTGCTACTCATCTTCTAAAAATGATCTTTCCTGTTCGCCGGTTTAGAAAGTTGCCACCTGAGCTTTGTAGAGCTGTAGGAGAACGTGACCGAAAATAGTCCCCTACAATTTAAGAATGTATCCAGTGCCTGTAGGTTAAGGGCTGGTGTTTCCACTAGGTAAAAATGGGACACACATAGTGGAAAGGAAATTGATTGTAAGCCTTAATTTTAGTTACAGGAGCCAAAATCTTCAATTTAGGGCCAACCCTTATCTTTTTAAGCCTAGGAGGAGTTGGTGTAAACACCAAATTTATAAATGGGGAAAACCTGTAGTGGTGTGAGGAACGCAAACTCTCATCTGAGAGAAACAAAGCACCTCCATTAAAAAAAAAGAAGAAAAAAATAAGCTTCCTCTGATAACGAGGATACATAGTAACAATGAGCTATATAAGACAGCAGCAGTTTAGAAACCTAAAGCTTTATATGAACAGAAATGTTTAGGGGATGCTTTTTTTTTTTTTCTTAAGTGAGGAAAAAGGCAATTGTTTTGAATATGGTTGAGTTGCACAAGTATGGAGTGTGTGTGTGTCTTAATGTCTCGGTATTGCCTTTGTTAGTCTCTTTATTAGTCCATGCAGTTTGGTGGCCTGGTAAATGCAAGTCTTATTTTTAACGGCTTTCTTTTTTTTTTTTTTAATACAAAACCATAAAACTTTAATTTTTTCTTTTTATAACTGTGTTTTCTTCTGTCTCTAATTTAGTGGCCATAACTTGCAGTTAATTGAACCATTCCAACCTAATGCTTACCCATACTTCCTAGTTTTGTTTTATTTATTTATTTGAACTTCTTGTTTTCATGATTGAGGACTTTCACTTGTGTCTCATTCATCTGTTTGGAAACTTCTGACCTTACAGCCAAAACTTAACTCATTCTACTCAGTATTCATCGTGATGCTGAAGTGTAAGATATGTGCAAATGTAAACACTACCACTTTTATTAATAAAAGCAAATACAGTGTTTTAGGGCACATTTGCATCACTATAGTTGAGGTTGTGTCAGTATTTCCATTATAAACCCATAGAGGGTCTATATCTTGGCACTAAATTGCCCTAAGCTAAATCTTTGCCATACAAGGCTTCTGCTCAAGCATGATTTGGTGGGTTGGTTTTTAAAGAGTTTCCAACACAAACTCATTTCTGTTTTAAGTTTTACAACTGTTTTGCTGGATGGGGGTTGGTTTAAAAAAAAACAACAACAAAAACAACAAACAAACCTGGTTCAAGATTGTTTTTGGCACTTCTGTAACTCAGAAATGGTTTTGATTTTAAAACATAACCTTTGGCAAGCCAGTAACCTACAATATGGTCTGATCACTTTGGGTATTTTGTAAAAATAATAATAAATTGTAGAGATGTTGTGGTTTCAAAATCAGCTACTGTGCATTTGCAGTAACTTATTTCAACCCAAGAACTTTTAGTAATTTGTACATCAGTACGCATATTCAGCAGCCAGTGTGATACAGCAGAATAGTGATAACTCCTGAAGGGTTGGTGCTTTTTTTTTAATAATGTGGAGAGGTAAATTCACTACAGACTAAAAAAAGATGCAGCTGCTTCTGAAAGCATCAAAAACTGCTCTCTTAGAGGCTGAAACTGGAGCTCTGTAAGTTGTTTGGAGCAGACTTTGATGCAAAAGCATATGAAGGCATGCTGGATCAGTTGTCGTAGGCGGGAGCCCTGAGGGCTTATCTTCACTTATCTAAAAACTATTTTGAATCATGGTCGTAGGCGGGAGCCCTGAGGGCTTATGTTCACTTATCTAAAAACTATTTTGAATCATGGCATCGAGGATAGGATTTAACTTAGAGTATGTCAGTAACTCCAGAGGAACTGAAGCTAATTCTGTTCCAGTGTGTTGCACATAATTGATACCTGCAGGATAATTTTCTTTTACCGGTAAATCTATGCACAGAACTATTAATGCTCGTCACCTTCAAATCTGAGCACCTTGTAATTAGTCGTGGCGCAATATTCCTGTAAATGATGTAGGATGTTTTGTATTCTATCCTATTTTCCAATGTCAAAAATTATGTACCAGGAAAAACAGAGGATGATTACACAGGAAATTGACCGCAGATATGGAGATAGACCCCATGACAGCCGAGTACCAGTCCAGTGCCTTAGCGATAATACTGTCGGTGATTGGTGCTATACAAATGTCTAAGATTGATAAAGTTGTTGTATGTTACAAAATTATGTAACTTATTCTGGAAGAGAGTAAGTTCTCTTCTTTCCCCAACTGTATCTAACACGTTATGTGTATTTCTAACAGCGCTGGCACTCACAAGGCTTCTTCCACAGAAGCAGATGATAAAATTCCTACTAACTGTAAGAAGCAGGATCAGTGGAAATCTCACACAGGAACAGGTCCTCATCCCTAAAATACATGTTGAATTTTGTACAACAGTAAAAATATTTACAAGCAAACATCTGTTTGCAGTCCAAAACCAAAACTGTACCCTTCTTTCTCAGCTTGATATTTCTGAAAATTCATCCATTGGGAAAAAGCCTTTCTGTTCTATGACAAACTTTGAGGTGTCTTTGTAAACAAAATAAGCTACAAAGGGGATTTCTGAACCTCTGCTGATGAAAGCCATTACACTGAAAAATCTCTCTGGTGACTGACAAGATAGAAATTCCAAGAGTGAAGCTATTTTAACCCTGGTCGTAACCAGTTAGCTTAAACACTGTGAGTGGATGTGTTTCAGCTACTAGGTAGATAAACTGCTTTAGAGTATTTTACTGTATTGCAGAGATTGCTAAAATTTCAGCCATGAGTACTGGCTTCATAATTAATTTTTTTCAACCCTGATTCTCATCTTATTAAAAGTTAAAACTGCTTTTTACCCTGTCTACTTTTAATGTACTGAGCTGAACAAAATGGGTGCAGTTTAAAGCACAAGTCTACTTGGAAAAGCAACTTTGGAGGAGGCAGGGAGGCAAACTAATCTCTCACTGCATTAAACATAAAAATAATAAGGTGTGGGGGGCGTTCATAACTTCTGGGTCCTATAAACTTAGCGTGATTCTGTGGAAAAAAGTAGGGAGTTCTCTAGGTTAACCACAGCAAGTGCTGACTGCTACCTCTGCAACAAGGGGTAACTGACCAAATATGTAATAGATAATTTTCTTTTTAAGAAAAACAAAAAAAACACCCAACTAGAATTTACAGGTTTTCCTAATTTTTTTCCACTTAGGAAGTCTGCCTCAAAAATCTTTATTTTAATGACAGGACAAAATAAAGCCTTTAAACATTGTCCCAAATACAGAGAGAATGATACATTTTTGAGGGAGAAGATGCTGACGTTAGGGTTTTTTATGTAACTTAAGATGCTTTCTAAGGCTGGGGCACCAGTAGACAAAATGTAAGCAAATTCAAAATTAAAATGTGAATGTATCTCTTCACTTTAATTTACCCAGTTGCTTTATTAAATGAGTTGGCCAATACTTCAGTTTTTTATATACTACTACTCAAGTTTGGAGAAGGAACAAGCTTAGGACAGAGGTAGTAATGTTGGGAATTCTCTCAGTTCTGTTCTGTTATGCAAACTAGTGTTTTTAGGCTGTGAATTTTATGTGAATTATTAGTAAAGTACAGTGTTTCTATTTGTAGTTTTTCAGTATTTGATATGACTTTGGAATTGTATCATCCTTGCAGCTAAAATGCTAGAGTGCCAGCAGAGATCAGGCAGAGAAAGGAGCTGCTGTATAAGGGTTATGAATTAGCGCGTCAGGCTAGTGACTGTAAGGCTACTTGGAAAGGGGGCCCGTTCTACTTCTTTTTTCACTACATTATCAGTTTTCTGTTGGCAGAATCAGAAGAGCTTCCATAAAAAGACAAATGAAGGGGTTGGGTGATAGTACCAAATACACGTCTATGTAAGACCTGAAAGCATTAGTGAAAGGTATTTCAAACTTGTATTAAGCTAGAGCCATAGGAGACAGGATGTCTTTCCTGAAGTGTGTGTGTGATGATTCACGTGTATCTCAGTATTTTTAATCTCTTTTTGCTGGAAGGCACAACATCCAAAATGAAGTAACAGATTTCATGAAAGTTTTGGTGCTAACCTTGAGTTCTGTTTCCCACAGGGCAAAACTCTGCTGGGCTACAAAGATTCATCTATGTAAGAGAGTCTGGAAGCCCAGTGCTGCCACAAGCAACGGCTCTTGTTAACCTATTTGTGATTTAAAACTGGGGAGCTTGCCACCAATTGTTCTGTCCAGCATCATGGCCCAAAACCTGCTACCTTTGGATTCAGCTACTTTCTCCTGTCCTCACCCCCCCCACCCCACCTACTCTTATAACGTATATGGTTGATAAGAGAGAATAGAGCAGCTATGAAAGAAAGTTACGAGACAACCTCACTGAAAGTTCAAAGGAACTAGGGACAGCTAGATAAACAAAACTCCCAAATCCATCACCTTGGACACTGAAAAATATATTTATGGGGGAAATTCTTCATTCCCCAGGTAAGTGACCCAGTTTGGGATCCTTATACAAATTTTCAAGGACAGAGAATGTATTTGTCTAAAAGGCCAAGATATCTCCAACTAAGGAACTGCAAAAAATGCACTTACTACATACATTATAGAACTGAGAGATCCTTCAGTGAAGTGTAAGTTTAATGATCAGTATGCAGATCAGCTGGAACTTGCTTTGAAGCAAGAAAATGTTTCCACTCTAGGCTCATCTTGAGAAGTACTTGGGGCATTGTGAGGCTATGCTTTTAAGCGATCCACAGTATATAAATAGAGTTCCAACTTGTAAGTTGATGTTTGAAGGACACTAGAATGACATTATGTTGGTAACCTAAAAACCACCTTGTTTTGTCTCAGAATACTTCTCAGTTACCTAGCACGTGTCATGGTGTTCAATGTCTGGAATAACACTGTTACCAGTAATTGTGAATCTCAAGGTACAAACAAAAATGCTTAATCTTGAGGTTCTGCTTGAGAAGGAAGAACTCTTTAGCCAAAACTCATTAGCCTAACTTGATGCTGCTGTAATTTCCTACTCGATTTGAAAGTTATTACCTTATCTCTAGTTGAATGTATTGGCTGATTTGTAAAGGGCTAACGATTATGAAATACAAATTTATGCTAAAAGAATTTGTAGAGGGCAAGGAGCAGAGGTAATTAGCATACGGAGAATGCCAGGGTGGATATTTTTAAAAAAACATATGAATAAAAGGCAAACAGTTTTGTTGGAAGTTGGCTCTTCTGTTTGGGATTTTTCTTTTATTCTAGGAAGGAACCAAATGGAGTTGGATGATTTCATCAGCTGTATTACATTCAGCCCTTCTTTAGGTAGGAAATCTCGAAGCATAATTGTTAAGTAATTTGCTAAAAAATCAAGCAACAAATTTTGATAGTTGGATGGAATTGAAACTTGACCATTTGATACTTGGTTTATTCTTCACTCTCTTAGAAGAGCTATTCCCAACCTTTATGAAACCAACCTTCACTTCTGTTTTTAAAAAAAAAAAAGGGTAAAAAAAAAAGAAGGTGGTTCTCCACATTTCTCTAGATCTGGCTCTTCTTCACACACATCTACTTTCCAGGATACCTTTACTGCTTCTTCAAAGCATGCAAGTCTCTCTTCAAGCAGAGACTCTGAGGCTGGCTTTCATAGTATATTTATTGGGCTCAAAATTTTATCTTTAATACCATCACTGCCTCATCAAAATCTCATTAGATGGGAATTGTGTCTCAAGAATATTTTACACACAAAATGTAGTCAAATATGCATTTAGGGAAAAAATTGTTGCATTCATTTGCTGGATAATAAAATCTTTCAGGGACATTCAGGTAAATCTAAGTGCTTTTGTTTATGAACATTTCACTGAAACTTTGTAAAACACAAATCCATATGGAAGAACACAGTTAAACCCAAGAAGACAACCAACATTGTTTCCATTCAAAGTTGTAAAAGTTTAGTTTTCAAAATGAATTTCTGGTACATTTAGTGTTTCATCACAGTTTAAATGATACCTTGAAACTGCTGGTTTTGATCTGACTTTGCCTCTTGTTTATTGACCTGAAGTGGGGAAAGCTTGGATATTGCAATTCTTCTGCAAAGGGCTATTCAGCAAATGTCTGGCTCTGTTACAGGTCCCTAGTTTTCTCCTCAAGGAAAGTTGAAAGTAAATGCTTTGAGTATTGTTCATTCTTTATATATTAAAAAAAAAATCATTTTCTGTTACTGCAATCAAAATAAAGAGATATAAATATATAAAGACAAAAGAACTTCTAGTTTTAAGATTCAGACACTGAAATTACTAGTATCATTAATGTCTAATACCACTATGTCTCTCGCTGGCAGTTGGTGCTGTGGACCTTTTTCTACTCAACTAAGCAGTAAGTTTCGTAGCAT